GAAGCACTGAAGAGATAAGCTGCATTTATAATTACTAGCACAGATGTGGGAAGTGGGCTCCGCATTCAGCTGGGACTCACTCGCACCCAATAGCGGCTTCCGATCAGATGGCGCAATGCCTGCAGTGCTCATATCGCAGTTTCCACGCGAACACAGATAAATGGTCGGAAGAATACGGGACAGTTCAGTGTACTAGATTATATACTTGACAGCCATGAGATTTCAAAGAGTTGCTAATATTAGCACCGTTACTCTGTCCAAATATTGATCGTTTTCTGAGAAAACTAATTACCGCAAACGAGGCTAACAACTAAATAGAAGCAGAACAGAAACCTACGCACTGAACATAATATTATGCCGCTTGAATTAAACAGTTTGCTATCCAGAAAAATGATGAGCCCAGACTACAATAAATCCCAACACGACCGTTGTATAAAATGTATTACAATGCTGCTGAACGTCACAAAACGATACCATGAGACTACGTTAAGGTCGATTCCTGCAAGTTGAACACATTTACGTCTCCTTATTATGTATGCTTTTGGACAGTTTTCAAGAATATCAATTCTAGGACTAGGATAGAAATGAATTGTTAGATTTGAAAATGGTGATGCATCATATTATTCATATATGAGAGTAATGAGACCTAATACAGGGGTTGAACAATTGCAACAAACAATCTCAGCGGAAAATATGACTGAATAGCAAAGTTAGTTGAGGTTAACACAATACGAGTTCGGACAGCAAGGAAACTACCAGGATTGTTCCTTCATCAGTGACAACCGTTTTGGCATAAATTGAAACCTAGTTTTGTTAGTTCAAACAATTCTCTAATTAAATCACATTTTTGAAAAAATAACACATTCATCTGTTTGTTTATGTTAAATCATGAATAAATTGCAGGCTTGAACAGTTTAAAAATACAGTTTTCATGAATTGTGATAGTAAAAGAGTAATTCGTCATAGCTTGCTTACATACCTATGCCTAGCACTTACATATATATACTTTCTGATCATGCCTTGTAAATAAAGCGCAGATAATCCTAAGAAAGTATGAGGGGAACTGAAGTTAGGATATTTTCTATACATATATAAAACTTGAATTTTCTCATTACATTATTTATACAACAATTTTTGTGCTTTAACTAATATTTTATTTTAGTTTAAGTTAAACAGTCCTCTAATCTATAGTCAAAATGACAATCAAGCCCCTAAATTTGAAAATAATCTTGGAACTAATTTCAAGTCAGCAAAGCGTGTATAATTAATACAGTACAGTATTGTCATTTTTTAATAATAGGCAAAGTTTTGTCAGTTGGCAATTCTTGTAATGTTCTTAACATGTCTCTTGGAGATCTAGAACTAATCTTTTGACCAGAGTTTTCCATAATTTATAGGTATTGAAGATTAATACATAACTGCAGAACATTGAATCAATAGCAATAAAGAACTATACTGTAGGTATGTATACCACTTTCATTAATCAGAAAAATATTAAGTAGGATAATGGACATGGAAAATAAGAAAAACCTACCTTGGATGACAGAAGCTGTCAATGAGACTTCAACTTGCATCAAACTCCACTAGCCAACTAGGCAAATGCAACATTTACACACCACAGAAGACATCAATAAATATCTATTGTAGACCTAGAGTAATTAAATGTAATCACAGCACAGTTTCTCCCCACAAATATAAAGATCACTTGAGATGCATTTATAGCTTAGTTTCAGAATGACATATAAATGCTATTTCAGTGAACAGAAAGCAAGCTTTGGTGGAAATATGAATAAATAGTTGTTGACCATTTCTGTCAAAACAAAGTGTGAAGAATGCACATGACATGAGTAAACTGAGTAAGTTTAACATGCAATAAATTTTTGCTGGTAGTAACATAAGTCCTCTTACAATTGTTTTTACTCTAAGCCTAAGGCATTCAGCCTTCAGTTTTGGTTGTGTTGCTACATCTGCTAGCCAAATTTTTAATCTCAGTTGCTACACTTTGTAGTTGCTAAATTTATGCGTATGCAGGCAGCAGGGTTGAATTTAAGGAGCTGAATGAAAAATAAATAGGGAGCAAATAACATTTCACAGTGATAGAGTTAATTTTAAGTGCACTAATTCACTATGACTAATGAGTAATGAGGATCTTATCACGTTAGAGCCACAAATCCCACAATGACTAAACAGGCCTGGCAGTGAGCAAAATATTTCATACTGAAAAAGCCAAATGCAAGAATATATGCAAGTAGGAATCAGTAATTTTTACTGTCTTCTGTCTAAAGTTTTAATTTCAATAAATTTTACTCAATTTTATCAAAATGTTGATTTTTTATTCTCAAAGTAAAATTCATAATATTACTTTGGCAGCAATGCAATTTTTTGCAGAGAGACCTAGGGCTGGGAAATCTCCAAAAAGCCTTTAAATGTGTTATTTGAAGACTACGTATATGTAATCTTAAATATGTTATTCATAGTGGTATACTACAGTCTACAGTCTCTTAATATTGGATTTTAACCACAAAAGACACAAGATTAAAGTTATCTTTGAATCAAGGTTTAATATCTTGCTTTTTAAGAGATTGATTGAGTCATTTGAGTGGTGGTTTTGTATTCATTATGTGACATTATTTAATTATACTGAATAACCTGCCAACAGAGTTGACAACCATAACTTGTCAAATCAACAACTGGATATTTAAATCACGATTAAGTAAACAAAGTAATCAAATGGTGCTTTGCTTTCAATATATTTCATTGATTCCCCATCGTTGAAAATCAACAATATCGAATTATAATTAACTAACTACAAGTCTACAATTAGAAAAAAAACGGAGAAAGTGCAACACGTCGTGCTTATTATTATGGATATTCTTTCTCCCGTAGGTCGCGGCGTCGGCAGGTAACGCAGGAGCCCCTGGGCTCAAAATCTACTCATGTTTGACTTGCCCATTTCCGTCGCTTCTACGACGATTACATCGATCTCAATGAAAATAGTATTGCCAAAATATAAGTAGTGAGCAAAAATTAAGAACAATCATTGTTAACCTTGCAAAAATATATAATAGGATTCCGATTGGCCGTTCACGGCGCAGCAACTTGTAGAAACAAGTCTCAAAGACCGGCACAGCACGCGACACAACCTACCCTGAAACAGCTGACAGCACACTGAACTGTAAATAACATCTTCGTCTGACTGAAGCATGGCATCTTCAGTGAAGAGTATCTTCAATTTTAAATAAAGGAGACGCAATCAATTTGAATATATACATGTAGAACTAAAATGATTGCATGAATATATGAAGTCAAGAACATGTTCAAAGTGAATAATTTCACGATTTTAGATACAAAATAATAAACGTAAACACTAGCCGGCAACTGGTGAGGAGGAAATCGATGCTCCGTACGAGATGACTCGGTTGTCATGACAACTGCTGATCGCTCACCAATAGAAAGAAACCGAACAATACTTTGGAGGAAAGTTGTCATATAACAAAGCCATTTTTGAAACATTCATTCCATTGAAAGAAAGTGAACAATAATATATAAGTCAATAAAAAATCTTAACAAAGAACACTAGAACATTAGCTTTTGTAGTCCAGGCTCAACAAACGTTATGCATATTACTGAAGACAGGTTTAGGATGACAGATTTAGGAAGCGACTTATCCGACTTAGGTTTCTAGATAAAATCTCGCATCGAATTACATGCCGGAGATAAAAATCAAGCATAAAACTAAATTAATTTACAAATCTTATAGATACATTACTAAGAGAAATAAAATAAAAATAATATTTGGGGTTTATTAAGGCAAAATGACCGACACGTTCAGTTGATGCCATCGTTAAAATGCACTCTTTAGAGCTCTGAATGGATCGCGACGCCGACCCGTGTCTGTCTACCAGAGGCATTTTCTGAATATATGCTATCTTGCGTAGAGTTATACATTTTTTAATTAGACCGCATTTACGATTATAAAATAAGTAAGTTTAGAATATTCGTTATAATAGCGTTCATTCTTGCTATTACCAGAGAGCAACAATAGCTTATCAAATTCAGTAATTTCTCAAATTAAGCCAATCAAGATAAGATGACCTTGTCGAGTAGTTGACGGATGTAACCGCTTCGACACTTTTTGGACGACTTTTAAATGCAAATTTTTTATCGCTCTTTTTCACACATAACTTTATAAAATCGAACCCGACCTCGATCAAACTAATAATAACGCCATTTAATCATAATGCGGTCAAGTGAACGATGCCAGATTTTTTTGTGCGCTCCGTTTTCACGTTGTCCGCTTAGGTATGCGTAAGAGGATTAGGTATGCCCGCTTAGGTATGCGTAAGGCAAGAAGGGGATGATCTCTTATTCTTCACACAGCAAAGTCCAAAGCAAAGACAAATGTTCGAAGCGTGCAACTTTAAAAAATTAATTTTCCTAATGACTATCATCTGCATCGTTAGCTTAGGGTCGTGGCGCGAGGTGGAACGAATTTCACTTCATAGGTTGAATTTATCTCGATTTATTTTAACGGTGTCACAAGATAACACAAGGGAGATAAGAGTATTAGAAGATATCTGTTGTAAACACCCGGAGAACGTCTATAGTGAAGGTATGGCATCGTGAATGATAATTTGGACATTGTAATGGAAGCCGACAGTGAAGAGGTATATTCGTGAAATCAACTGATCTATAAGACGAAGGCTTTGGTAATGAAAACTTGTATGGAAGCTTACACGCTGGAGGGTAAAACATGACTTCCGTAGTACAAGCTGCAGGGTATAACACGGCTCACGTAGTACACGCTGGAGGGTCTAACATGACTCACGTAGTACACGCTGGAGGGTCTAACATGGCTCACGTAGTACACGCTGCAGGGTATAACACGATTCACGTAGTATACGCTGATGATTGTAAAATGAATAAATTTTCAGTTGAATTCAGTGGATGGGATATTTGAGGTGACGAGTAAATGGAAGAGACCAGTGGTAGCAACTTACCTTCTCCTCGGCTTCGTCGGCCCGCGTCTCCGCCTCGACAACGCGCATCTCGAGGCTCGACAACTGCAAACAATCAACACTATTAGAGGACGCCCTATGATGCATTGGTTATACATATTTGAGACCGGAAAACTTACACGATAATGATATAAACAGTTAAAATTTTAAATTATAATAATTGATGAAATAACTGACTTTAAATGTGATAAAATGATTGATAAATAGTTCATTCAATTAGAATGTTGACCAAGAACACAACAACTGAAAAAAAAATTGTTCACATCGTCATCATGCAATAATAAAAATCACAGCTGTAATTAAAGCAGTATATCCTGTAAAAATATTCATATTCGTTTTCTCTGGGGAATTGAGACGTAGAAAACTATCCAGAACTCTAAGTGAAACTAAAATAAATTGCGGGGCACATGAATTGGAAAACCTTGAAAATGAGTAAAGGTAATTTTGATTTTTCAACAATTTACTAGTAATTTTTATTAGGCTTTGATCTGGTCAGTGACATGGCAGATAATTTTTAGGGAGCGTAATTTGACTCTTAAAAACAATATGAAAATATATAAATGTGGAACAATATTTTAGGAAATTTAATGCGAATGCAACGAGAATGAATTTAATGGAATGGGAAGAAATGTAAGGTTCCATATCATAATCAATCATGCCCTGCAACATTATTTGTGAAAAATTGTTTTTCGAGATTAGAACAGATAGACAATGTCAAAGTAAAATTTTTTGTTAAATAAATAGTGTTTTCTACTAATGTTCTTAGTATTGCTTCCCAGATTTGAATGCTTCTAGTTCTTTGAACTGCCAAGAGCGTAAAATGAAACTGTTACGCTCTGACATGAACATCATACACTCTATGCAGGAACGGTACAATAGTCTCAAGTTACAGGATGAAAATTATCTCAAATTAAATTAATGTTAACAGAATTCTACTTGCAATCAGCGAATCGGAGCAAATAAAGAATACTCGACAAACGTTAAGATTAACATTACCTTAGAACATATTAATTACGTTTGTTAAATGTGCACGTATTTCCTGGAGTGTCTTGCATTGCATAATGATCAATACAATAATAAATAAGATCCCATATACTCCGAAAGTAGAAATAACGAAATCACAACAGCCTGTTATTACAGCCAAATTAATCGTGTAGGAACTCGAGAACTGATCTCAAGCACATTCACAGGATATCCAGCTAAGAATTAAGTAATAAGTTAATATACCTGAAGGCTGAATATAGACGCACACACAATTTTGTGAATCTTGCAAGTAATCGGTGTATGCGTTTCAATAAAAAACTGAATAGTATCTAATTACGAAGACAAGCGTAAAAAGACCAGCAATAATAATTCTCAAAACCTCGCAAAATAATTACCGTAACACTCCTACTGATTCTCAACACCTCACAAAATAATTACTGCAACAGTCCCACTGATTCTCAACACCTAAAAAAAAAAAACCTCAGCCTCCTACTGATTCTCAATTCCTCACAAAATAATTACTGCAACAGTCCCACTGATTCTCAACACCTCCAAAATAATTACCTCGGACTGCTACTGATTCTCGACATCCCACAAAATAATTACCAGAGATCGGCAGGGCCACTCGATCAAGCCGTCAGTCAGGCATTCGTCGATCGAGTAGCCGACCAGGCGATCCTTAATTAAAACTTGATCCCGTTTAATTCTGCCATCGCACTCAAAGTTGCTCAGGACCTCAATTTTACGGGACCCTGGTAAGCCCTGAGACGTTTTATGTTCCCTGGATTTGATTGGGGCTTAGGCCGGGTAAAAAGACAAAAATTAAAGCCCGGCTTCGAGTGGGGAGCAAAAATTAGTCAGTTGAGTTAATCACAAGCTACACTGAGGTCAATTAAAGTAACTATGTATTCTGGACCAAGACCAAAATTGATATTACAGCAAATTTAATCGACTATTGCTTAAAACACCCACAAACAATTATGAATTATTAAAAATTGCTTGTTAAATTGCTAACGGTAGAATATATAACATACATAATAAAATGTAGTATTTTAGTATTTTGTACTTACTAAATTTTATTTTGTACGTATGTCTTTCAAAATAAAATTAGTTGAAAATTTGCACAAAATATAATCAATTAATGAAAGGCAATGCAGCCATATATATACTATACATCTTCTTACCAAAGATAAATCTCCATTCATGAGTTAGGCATGCGACCGTAAATTTAAATTTTTTGGGGCTGTTGACGTCCATCGCCGCGTTGCAGCCGTACTTTTATTTTCCTTCTAAAAATTCTTATTTATGACATGATAGAACAGGAAATATCTTATTTATTATGCAGTACAAAAGAAACTACCTTAGTTAGACGTCCACTCCGACCTTACGCATGCAATACTGCAACAAAGCTCCAATCTAACATTAAATTAATGCTAGTTAATTTCGAATGAACTTTTATAATTGAGGCTCCTCATCTAAGGAGCCTACCACACGCAACGGTGCCTATAATATATTAAGGCGTAACAGTTTTAGTCAACGGAGAAAGGAGCATCGCAATGGCGGTTTACTCAGCAATAAGTTACATTTTTCTCCACATGAATCGGTCTCTCCCTGAGCTCCGTGCCATCCTTCACTCCGGACACGGCACAGTTACCAACTCATTAAGGGAGCCTCATTTGGGGGGCGCCGCAAAATGCACTCCCAACGCTGCCCCCGAGATCCCCCAGCAAAAAATACCCCTAACGTTTCAGCAGCAACGGATCTGGCGGCGGTAGAAAGGAGGGGAAGGATCTGAAAAATGATCAGCGATTTTTAGAAGAGTTTCGAGCCGCAAGGATGCACCAATCGACGCAGCATGAAGTTAATACAACTTTTGGCAAAATTTTATGATGGATTACGACAAGGGAGCAAAGTTAAACAAAAATAAGGCGTGCCATCCTTGAGCACTGGCTTGTTGAACCATAGGGCGAATGTTATAAAACTAGGTAGGGCAGACGACATATATACTTGTATGCTCGTATCCTTGCTCTTCAGTATAATGCGCATGACAGCTGAAACATCATTTGTTTCCTCAAGAGAGAAGTAACTAATATAATCTATGCTACTCCTCAATTTCAACAAATCTAAAAGGTAAGAAAGCTCGGTTACCGCCCATTTAGTTCATTAAAAGCAAATTGACAATAGTTGTGTTCACCTTTAAGATGTCAGTTGTCAGTGACTATATTTTAGAAAAAATTATAGTGAACAGCTATGCTTTCCTTCCTTAATATAAAGTAGTAATATCCAATGAAGGAACGTAGATGTGTTTACTTGAAACTATATGAACTGAAGCTGCGGCGTGGCGTTGAAAATATTATGGTTTGTCCGACAATAAGGTCACCGTGTCCTCCCTGGGATGCGTTCATGCAATTGTATCCGGTCAACTTTTTCCGCGCTGTTCGCTGTAAGCCGCCGCACTCCTCCAAACCTGACTGATGATATGAAGTGTACAGAAATCTTTCTTGGGACGTAGGATTTGATAATCAGCAACCGGACTTTACTCTGAATTATTAATCGTCATAGACTTGAACAATTTTTACTATATCTGTAACTGTATACTGGTTAAAACCGTCGTTGTATAAGCTCTTCATTCTCTGTAGCTAAAGGAAATATAATTTGCGGCGGAAAATTTAGAGCATTTTCCCCGATAAAGTGTCAACCATATGCTTGATGAACACCTCTGCTGCACGAGGATGTGAAACTGTGCATGTGTGCTACCAATTGCTGGTGTGATGTGGTCCCTGTTCAGCGATCTTTCCCAATCAATTACAGCGAGCAAATCCGTGAATAATTCTCGAAAAATATTTTTAAAAATCGACTGAAAGTCGTAAGTATCCCTCAAAAGTTGTAATAGAGCGGCCAGTGAACTTTAATGAACGATTTGCACGAGAAATAATTCGTCGTTTCGGGAAAAATGAAGTCTTTAAAAACTTAACACGAGTGTGAATGGCTTGCTGCAATTGTACGTATTAACGAAAATATATTTTGTATTCTCCCGAGCTCACTATCAGAAGTTATATATTGAAATTTTCTTCGAGAAAAAATGGCAACTATGTAGCCAGATGGTCTTGCAAAGGTTGAATATTAATATTGCAAAAAAAGTTTAACAATAATTTTTATAATTTTTTGATGCAAAACTTTTTGTCATAATTTCAGCACTTTTAACGACGTGCCCGTTTGGAATAGCTTCGTACAGAGAAATATCCGTGAGCTTATTTGTTCCTGGAATAGATGATGTTCGAAAACATTGCAGTGCGTCAGCCTAACAACAGCAGCGGGCGATAATCAGCACGTGAGGCCGCTAATCGCAATGAAGAATATTGCCAGACGTCCGCCTAACAACAGCAGCGGGCGATAATCAGCACGTGAGGCGACTGATCGCAGTGAAGTTCTCTTTAGAGATTAGCACGAGCGACACACGCGGGTAAAACTTCTCGGTGCCTGTGAAAAAGCTGGGCGCGCTTCACGACAGCGTCATGAGGAATTAGTCTTGAGATGATGCAAGCGGCGTACGAAAATACGACGAAAAAAGGAAAATAGATCCGCCGAGTAGAATTTGTGGTGAACAGCCCGAAAAAAATCACTCTCATCTGCAGAGGGTCCTAAGAAATTCCACTCGTAACTCGGCAGGGTTGTGGAACTAGCGGAGAAACGCGAGGTATATAATATTTGGAAGAAATTCAGTAACACGATATTTTTAAATCCTCAACGCCTTTGCTCATTTTCTTACTGTCAAACGCAGTAACTGTTACACACAAATAACTGTTTGGAAGCATTCATATTATGTTTAATAACGATTTAGTAAAATGAAAATCAGCAGTCAAACTTTGGATTGAGAGACATCATCATGCACCGTGATGGCAAGAACGTTCCCAAGATTTACTAAGTTCCCACACAATAGAACTTCAGAAGCTCAAACCTCGTCCAGCTCCCTTAATGAAGTTCGACGAGGTTTGAAGCTCAAGCCTAAAGCCATCAGCAAAGTTGCTTACGCTAAGTAACTTAGTCCTGCCCTTCTATGA